GAAGAAAAGCCCTCGAGGACAAGCCCTCCACGCGCTGACTGCCAGGCTGCATACGACGCACCATGGATCCTGGAAGACTAGAATTGATACATACACTTGGCCTGAAGTCTAACACTCCAGGGTGGACAACGGAGTCGCATTCGCCTACACATTAATGACAAACTCTGGGTTAGTATAGGAGAAGCCAGCAAATTCATTTTGGTCCAAGTTCATGATGAAGAGTTTATCAGTAGGCGTGAGTTCCACAGGCTGTCTGGTGAACTCTTTGTCGAAGTTGGAGGTGTCTCGCTTGTCTCTCTGCCAAACGGAAAGCAAACACATTAACACAGCGTAAGCAGGAAGCGCGACCCACACCTGCCAGTTAGTGGGAAGCCGATGACACCTGACTGGCCGAGTCAGAAAGAGCCCCCTGCTGAGCTGTTCAGCAGGTGCTGTGCGCACACTATCCCCTGCCTTTCACTTCACGTTGAATGTTGGCTTCGGGAGAGAACACTTGGTGGCGATTGCCTAAGAAAGGAAACGAAACATTGAATTTCTTGAAGGATTGTCCTAAAGGGGACTGGGGGTGTTTCTGTTTTCTTTGGCTTTGAGATGAACTGAACTGGAAACTACTTCTTACCAGTGGAAAATGTCATAGAATTAGTCACGGGGTAGAGCGTCCCGGAGGAAACCATCCCACAGCGACCCCTGTGGCGAGGAGGCTCCTTTTCCTTAAAAGGGAGAGCGGCTGCGGCACAGCCACTCAGTTGCCAAGGAGGTGGAGGGAGTGGCATGTGGGGACATCAGATCGTTGCCTGACGAAAGGAGCTGATCCCTGTCCATCCCACATCCCCTGGTGCCAACTAGGCTTTGAAGGGATGTTCAGAAATCCACCCACAGACTAGAATTTGGGTCTTCAGCAGCCACAGGCTGTCTCCAAGGATGGTTACAGCATAGCGTCGTATCTAGTCAACAAGCTCTAAGAAACAAAACCCAAAGCTTAAAGTGAGGTCTCTAGGGGCAGCCTTAAAACAAAAATTCTATTCTCCTGGTTAGCTTGACATTTCTGTTTCGGGTTGGGGGTCCCAGACTGCTAACTACAGTTTGGGGCAACCGTTTCCAGGGAATGGCAGAGTGTGGGCTCACAGAAACACCTCACGTCTGTATGATGTTCTCACCTGCTCAGGGTCCTGCAGACTCTCGTTCCTTCCCATCCTCACCACCCACCTGAGGGCAGGAGGAGATGGAGTCCTCACTGTCTTTCCCCCCACCCCAACGGTTTGACATAGGAGAAGACAGGTGCAGGAAGATACAGTGACTCGCCCAAGGCTGCACAATGCAGTGGTGATCTCTACCTGACCACGTTGCTCTTAATTAGGGCTAACCTCAGTCCCTTTGATTGGGGGTGTGCGTGTGGGGAGACTGTCTGATGGCTGGTTTAGTACAGGATGGCTGAGGAGAACGCCTGGGTCGGCCTCAATGAAGCCAGAGCTGGGTCAGATTGTAAAGAGGGGAGGCTCGGTGAGTACTGACTGACTTGCTGGAGTCCGGCCAATTGCCATTCATGCCTTAGGTTTAGCTCCTGCTGGGTGCTGACTGGTAGGGTTTCTCATCGCTGGGCTCATTCCCCTTTGCCAAGTACCTCCCACAAGAATTCCGTCATTCAGGCTGCTCCCTCGAGATAGGTAAAATGTCTCTATGGAGTTGCCACTTAATTGTGTTGCATGTGCTGGGGTGTGGGAGTCCGGGGCAGGGGTGGGGGTGGGGATTAGTGTTGCCAGACTGCAGTGGGCTCAAGACGCAGATGGAGCTGTTTTCTAGGTGGTGGGCCATCTCATGCCCGTTCATTCTGCTGTATCTTCTCCTGCCCACTGTCAGCCTGTCCTGTGCTGTCCCAGGCACAGCCTGTGTTGTCTCCTGTATTCAGAGAAAAGCTCAAACATCACCCCTTCCTTTAATATTGCCCATGCATCCCTCCCTGGACCCTACAAGTCATACGTTAGCTTCCTTTTCATTGTCTTCGTGGCACCTACGTACTATCAGACATTGTTTTATTTATTGCTTCTCTCCAGGCAGGGAGGGTCCGTACCTGTTTCTTCACTATTGTATTTCCTGGGCCTAGAATAATGCTTGGCACACAGCAGGCTGTCCGTGACTATTTGCTGAATGAATGACTCAAAGCATGGAGATCGACTAAGGATGAGCCTCCTTGCCTCTTGCTTTTTCTTCCAACATACACTTGTCCTTGGGCCGGAGACCCCACCACTCTCTAGCAAAGCAATGAAATTGTTCCTGTTGACTCTCTGGCTCTCTCACATCGGCTTCTTTCTACTTTGAGCCCCAGTAGGGACCGAAATGTTAGGCCCCTTCAAGGTCTGAGAGCTGCGAGGCTGTGTGTGAGCCCCAGGTAGATTTGGGGCTGGAAGGCAGGCAGTTGCCTCCTTTCAGATCTCCCCCTGGGAACATTGACCTCGTCTGGCCTTCCCTGCCTTTGGGCATCTGTGGAGGTTCCCTTACCACCAGCCCCAGCTCTCATAGCTCTTCCCCATCCATTGTGCCTCAAACAGTCACACGGTCCAGATAAAACCTGCCATTCCGGATATTGTCCTATGGGCAGCTCCCCTTAGGAAATACCCCTGAATTGTACCTCTAGAAGGTGGGAGAGGATAGGCCTCTCTGTTGGGACCATTCTTTTTTGGGGTGGCTGGTATCTGAAGCCACATGAGCAGAGATCACTCAACCAAGGAGGGTTATTAATTCCGCCGGCCTCCTCTTGATTCCCCAAGGTCATTAGGACCATGGCCCTACCCTTTCTTAGAAGAGGAACAGGTCAGTGATGAGTCTAAGAAATACCAAGAGGGATTCTTGGATCCTGGCAGACAATGAGCCATGGCTAACGTGGACTGTGCTTAGGTTTCTTTGGGTTCTCTTATTTAATTTCTTTATTTAAATTCCTTCCCTAATTTAAGTTCTTTCGGAAAATCTCCGCTTGTCTCCTCTGGAAGAACCAGGCAGTATCAAGCTGCGGGCAGTGTGCTGGCAGAACTGCCTCTTCCTGAGGGCTGGAAAGGGTAATGCCTGCAGGAATCCATGTGAGAAAACTCTAAGAAAAATGCAGGACTCAGAACTGAGGGGCAAAACCAATTCCCTCTCTCTCTATGACTATCCATCTCTGCTCAAATCTTGGTGATTCTATGGTCTGTTTGAGCATGGAGACTGTGCCTTTGGCCTTCTAGAAGGAAACCCACCCCACCTACCACGTAACTCCTGTCCTACCCCACCCACTACACTCTAGGATTGTCCCAGAAATCTGGGTCAAGGCGGGGGCACTGCTACATTTCCTCCTTCAGTCTCAAACTGTGGTCTACGTGGTCTACAGAGAAAAAGAGGCACCATGAAGACCCCTGAGGACTTTTTTTTTCTTCTAAGAAGCCTCTCCTGACTAACTCAGAGACTGCTTATCTCCAGGTCACATCATGCTTTTAATTACTTAGTTAATGGCTGCTGCCCCAGACTGCATCGTTGGGGTTTCCCACTGAGCTCTGGTGCCCAACAGAGAGCCTGGCACATAGTTGGTGTTGAATGAATGCTTCCTGGATGAACAAACGGGAGGTGGAATGTGGGGATGACTGCACAGAGAAGTGGAAAATCCTTCTTCCTGGACAAACTTGAAAAGTATGGCCCAGAGATGATATATTCTCAGAGCTCGATTTCTGGGTCTCCTTTGGATTTAAAATGGTGATGGAAAAGGAAACTGTGGGGGAACTCTGGCCAAGGATCCCTCCCTTGCATACAAGCCTTCACTGGCCAACTCTCAGCAAGGTGTGTTAAGGAAATAGAGACTTTGGCTTGAGTACCTCTTCTGCAAATGATTCAACTTCTGAAAAAATAAGGACAGAAATTTGGCAAATATGCGGTGTGTATATACAATATATTCTTCCTATCTATTTATCTATGTCTAACTAGCTAGCTACCTACCTATCTTACGGTGTTCTCTAACGTTGTCTCAAAGAATCTGTCAATGGCCCAATGCTTCTCCATGCTTTTTATCTTCCTGAGAACAGGTCCAAGAGGAGACCTGGTGACCCAACAGCCAGATGAAGGACCTCAAATAATTTGCTTATTGGTGGGCATGGCTCAGAGATGCCAGCTCTAGAGCAGAAACAGTCCTGCCCTGAGTCAGATAACCTGGGTTTGCGCCCTAGCTGGCTGACCTTGGGCAAGTCACTGCCTCTTTCCAGATGCCGGTGTCCCCAGCAACAAAACAGGGGAAGGAGGCTTCTGCCCCGATTTCCCTTCTTCTCTAACTTCCTGAGCTTGCCAGCTGGACTTGGGGTTTGCCCCACATGGGGGTCTCCACTGCTACCATGAGGGAGAAGCCGAGGGAAGACAGGAGTGAGCCAGGGGCCTCTGCCTATGTGGAAATGCCAATCACAGGTTTCTTAAAGATGAGAAGTTCTCCTTCAAGGACATTTGTCAAGCTGGTAAAGTTCTCCTGATGATCTCTTAGAAGCTCTGGTGCTTCTGGAAATCATACGACTTGTGATAAGAATTCTCTGGAAGGTTGCCTAGGAATAGAAGGAGGCAGCAGGCAAGGGGATTTCTCCTGCCCAAGGGGTTTCCTTGGCTTCTGGGGCCTCCCAAAGCTGCTTGCAAGTAAGAATATTTAGTCCAAGCTGGGAGAAGTGGTGATTTTGATAAGAAAATCAAGAGCCCCAGCCATGTTCCTAGCTGGCTCCAAAACTTGACTCTGGCTTTGACCTCTGGTATCGTTGGAAGCCCCGGCCAGCTCATCCCATCCCATTACAGGCTGCCAGGAGTCCCTGAATGGTCCCCAGCCTCTCAGACTGGCAGAACCTGGGGCTGAGGTTAAGCTCTGGGTTTAGCTCCTTTCTGTCTCGTAGACTCAGGAGCCCCACTTGGCAGTTTGGGTCCACATTTTTCAAAGAGAGCCGTGTTTTGTTTTGTTTTGTTTTTTCTTGAAATAGCATTTCTTCTTTCTTTTCTTTTTTTTTTTTTATTGTATCTCGATGCTAGAAAAAGAAATGGCACATAACATGTATCCAGATACAAATGGACATTTCCACAAACATCTTGCAAAACAACATCAAAGTGAAGAGTACACCCGTCTATGTTTCAAGAAATGGTATCTTTCTCAGAGCACTTAATTAGCTTTCCAAAGCCAGCAACAAACCTAGACAAATCCCATCCGTGCGGGCATGGGTCCGCTAGGTCCAGAGCCACCTTGACAAACAGGTCATTGTGGTTAATAACATTTGGACACAGATTTCAAAGCATGTGTAACACAGTTTTTTTTTTTTTTGTTCTTTTTGCGTTTGAACAATAACAGAAATAAAACCCCAAAGCAAATAAAATTTGAAATGTAATGTAAAACCATGGTCCTCTGGGACCTGGCTAGAGTGACCATGTCTTTTCAGGGGGGTGATGCCAAATGCCCTTTTCCAGGAGTTTGAGGATGAAGGTGATCATGATCAGGGACAGAGAGTATCAGGCATTACAGAATGGAGGGGGGCCCAAGCCGGTTGCCTTTTGACTCACCCCTTGAGTTCCTTTTAGATTGAGATTGTCTCAAAGCACCCTCTTGGCATTTTAAAAGGGTTGAGATCATCTCCTTAACTTTGAGTCTAAAAAAATAACAAATACGATTTTATTTTTGGCCTGGGCTCTGCATAGCTCATGGTGCCTCCAAACCAGGCAGAATGGAGGAATTCCCTCTACGTCAAAGCAACCATACCCTTGAATGCAAGCCAAGCTCTGGGTCTAGGAGGGAGAGAATGCTGCTAGCATCCGGTGAACCACTCATTTGGTAAGAACAATCCAGACTGGATGCCTGGAGTTGGGAAATGTGTAAAATGCGAGTGGTGGGAGAAAGGGAGAGAAAGCAGGCATTTTTCTGTCCCCAAGGGATCTCTGCCACATGGCCATGCTGGGGAGAGTCAATGGGAAGAGGTCATTTGCTAATGTGTTAATTAACGCAGCATTTTCGACGAGCCATCCACATCATCGCATCTCATAGAGATGCTCCAAACTACCTGAGGACATTTGGTTTCTGAAACATGGTCACTCTAGTCTCATCAGCAAGTAAAACATGGATGCGACGTGGCAATGAAAAGAAAAGATGTCACCACAACAGCCGTTGAGCTCGAATGACAGAAATGAAGGACGGAGGTCTACACATCTACTTAGCTCTTGACTTCAGGTTTTAAAAATTCAGAGTTAACAAAGGAAAATCCTTCGAATTCTGACTGGTCAATATTCCTGATGACTTCCTGGTCGGGAGGTGTTAGGACTGGTGGATGGCGGGTGAAAAACCGGTCGAAGTTTTCAGCATTTCGCCCACACTATGAGAGGGGAAGAAAAGAACTTGTGGTAGGTGGAAAAAAAACAAAACAAAACAAAAAAAACAAAAAAAACCCAAACAAAACAGAACCAAACACAATGGGGCGTGGCTTGCTCCCCTACCTCAGAGAGGTTTCAATGATCAGAAATGAGAGCAACATAAAATGCAAAATTCTCATGACCTTTGGTTCATGACCTGGGGCTCCTGACTCGCAGTTTCTAGGGCTCATGAGCTGCCCCTGGCATCCTGGTGACACCAGGAGCTGCATGGCAAAGGCATGAGATGGTGGGGCTGGTGGCATGTGGTATGCACCCTCCCCTCACCCCACCCCCCAACCCGGCTCCCAAGGAACTAGCCAAGCCCACCTGCTGAAAGAGATGGGATTAAGGTACCATCGATGTGTCATGCGCCACTGGATGTGAAGGAACAAGTCTGTTACACATCATCTGGGAGATCCTAATATTTAGCAATGGATCCCCCAAAGTGCTCTCCTCTGGCTGCTAGTCAGGAACTACGGACGTGGCCAGTTACGAACTCTAGTCAGTGGACACGGATCCCGAGACCTGGGTGTGGTGCCTGCAATGGCTGGTCACCCGCCAAGCCCTGATTAGCTGGGTAAGTCCTTGACCTTTCATCACAAAGTGCCAGTGGAGGCCGACTCAGCCACTCTCTCTCCGGATGGGAGCGGAGGCTGTGGGAGGAGACCCCAGCCAGTGCTTGGTGGGGCACTTGGGTTCTGGAGAGGAAACCATCTTCATGTCTCACCCTCCTTGGGGTCCTCCTATGTGCAAAGGTCTTGGTCTGAGGCGGGGTTGTAACGTGTATGTGTGTGTGTGCATGCGTGTGTCCATATGCAGGTACATACAAATGTGCACACACTAGTTCCCACCGAATGAGAAGACAGTCACTAAATCTGGCTTTTTTAGTTCACCAGCAAACATGGGCACAGGGCTCTTAGAATCTGAGACACAGTGTCTACCGCAGGCAACCACAAACTAGTAACAGAGCAATGGTAGTACCAGTATTCGGGACGCCTTTGCCACCCGCCAGCTACCCCAGACCGCTCATCTTGCTTTTATCTTATTTCATTCTCCCAGTGACCCCATGACGGGGACATTATCCCCACAGGACAGATGAAGAGACTGAGGCCAGGGGGACGGTGTCATTTGTTTAAGGTCACGCAGCCACTGAGGAGCACAGTTAGTCCCAGAGCTCTGACATCAGAGCCTGAGCTCCTGGCTCCATTCTACATGAGTGGGTCCCAGGCTGAGGAGGACAGGACCAAATGAGGCGGGGCTGGGAAGGGAGGCAGGAGTCAAGGATAGGGATGAAGAGGTCTCGGGTTTGAAGGACAGTGAGAATTAGGTTGCATCAGCCCCCCATACAGAGAAAATGGGAATATTCCAAAAAATGGCTATTTCCGTGTGGATGCCATGACTCTGAGGGGCCAGGGAAGCTCTGGGAGATGACCTTGGGACAGGGGGTTAGTAGGACAGATTATGAGGTGCAGGAGAGAGGTCTTGAAAAAAAGAAAAGAAATAAAAAACACTGAAAGGACAGAACATGGGAAGTGGAAGACAGATAAAGATAACAGTAATAAAAACCGCAGAGCAGTTTCCAGGCAACTGGCGTTTGCTTAGGGTTTCGCATACATTACCTTTTGTTTCACAGAACCACCCCGGGAGTTGGGGGATCTGATTTCTATTTGCCAGTGAGACAATGGCCCCTAAAACCAAGAGCAGGAAGAGGAGACTCAGGATGGAGCATTGTCCCACTCGCTGGGGACTGCGAGGATCCAGGGAGGGGACCGCTGGAGCTGAAGGATCTCCAGGGGGTCGAGCACGAAAGTCCTGGGAAACGGGCCACGGATGAGGAGGTGAGCGCTGCCTCCAAGCCTGAGTCCCCGGCAGAGGGAAGGTGAGTTGAGAAAGGTGAGGAGTGCACACTCCCCCTGGGCTCCTTCAGGCCCCAAGGTCAAGGGAAGCAGAGGTATGGGGGCTGTGTGTATGTGTGCGAGCATATGTGTGTGTGTGTGTGCACCTGCGTGTGGACATGGGCATGGGGCTCAGCTCCCAGAGCGCCTCAGAACTCCGGCTCTGTTCCTGTTTGGGAAAATTCTTTTCGGCCACGTTGATCTCTCTGCTTCGGGTCTCAGAAAACGAGAGGTGACCCCCCACCCCTGCCTGCCCTATAATCAAGACCTGGGGTCTGCCCTGCTGGCCGGCCGGGGAAAACTTCTGCCCACAAAAGGACAGACCCTCAACACAATGGTCAGGATTATAGTCCAGTTTCTTCCATTGCTTATGCATCTTTTTTTTTTTTCATTTGAGCAGTATTTATTGAGTGCCTACTGTGTGCCAGGCCCTGTGCTAAGAGTAAGTTCTAAAAAATCTGTGCCTTATGGGACTGGCATTCTGCAGGGGCTAGAAAGGCAACCAACAGGTGAATAGAAAGGGAACTGTGAATGTGCACAGTAGTGTTCATGCCAGACGGGGGAGGCAAGTGGTATTAAGAAAAATGAAGCCAGGCCAGGGATGCAGAGCGAAGAGAATGCCATTTTCAATAAAATGGTCAACTCTGAGGAGATGAGCTTGGAGCCATTTGAATGGGGGAAAAGCATTCTAGGTGGAGGGAAGTGCGTTTGCAAAGGCCCAGAGATGAGCATGTTTGCTCGGCCAAGGCCCCCTGATAGTGGGGAGGCCACTGTGGCCAGAGTGGTGATCAAGAAAGAGGCAGAGCAGTGGTGATGTGGGGGTGGGGCGAGAGGGAGCCAGGGGCCAGATCACGGGCCTTCCCATCTCTCTACCTGGTGAGGAGTCACTGGAGGGTTCTGTGTGCCCAGCACACTCTTGCTTGGGTTTCTGTGTACAAAGCTGATGAAAGGGCGAGGGGCAGGGGTATCCACTGGGAGGTGAGAGAGGATGGTGGCTCAGAGGAAGATGCCCTTGGGGGGCATGGAAAAGTGCATCTGGACTGAGGGGAGAGGTGGCAAGACATGCTGACGGGTCAGAAGTGGGGTATTCCAGGAAGAGAGGGCCCGTCAGCAGCCCCACAACTTTGCTCCTGAGCTCTGGGGAGAGTGGGGGATGCTCGGGGTAGAGAGCCCTCAGGGGGCCATTGGACACTTGCTTTCCTGTTTGATAGGTCTGAGTGTCCAGTGGGGATGTCGAGGGTGTGGGGACCGAAGAGGGCCGGCAGCTAGACTGATGGCAGAGGCGCCAGGGAAGGTAGAAGCCGGCTGTCACCATCCAGAGCAGAGAGATGGGGAACAGGGCCAAGGGGCAGAAGGGCAGGGGTGGACGCCAACCGGAGCGGCCGGAGCCAGGGACCGGTGGGTGGGACTGAGCAAGAACAGTGTAAGGCACACCTGTGCGTGTTCCTCTTTGGCCTGTGTGCTGGGACCCAAACCAGCCAGCATGGAAAGCATGTGAGTGGAGACCTGGAGTCTTCAGGGGGCATTTTTCTTTAAAAAACCATCAATTTCCAATGCACACCAGAAGGCTGCAGCTTGGCCGGGGCCTCCCCAGGGGCTGTGATAGGAGAGAGAGAAACGGCTCCTGGCAGCTCCGAGCCTCTCCCCCTCCCCTCACCCCCTACCCCGCCTCCGAGAACAATGAAATCTTTAAGTGAGATAGCAGGGAGGAGATGCAAACGCAGGGGTTAACCAAGGGGGCACAATGCAACGGGGAGCGTGATTTCCTTGCTAATAAGCAGCTTACGCGGGGCTGGCAGATCACAGCCTCCCTAAGTGTTTCCGTGTTTTTCAAATGGAGCTGTCACTGCCCATTAGCTTCAGGAGCGCTCCCTAAATGGAGATGTCAGCCCTTGGGAGGCACAGCCCAGATCAGCTCTGCGCCTGTGGTGTCCTTGGAGAACAGGGCAGCTCTGCGGCTGGGATCGAGCGAGCGACACATACACCGCGAGGACCACACCTGCTTCTCTGGTGGTCCTGAGTGGGGGCCGATACCTCCCTGAGCTCTTGAAAGAAACCCCCCACTCCCCTTGTCATCAGGGAATACCACCAGAGCTCCCGCAACAGCGACAGGGACCCACACCCACTCGGTGCCCGCTCGCTTGCTTTTGCCTGGTTACTGAAACCACAAAGCACCTCTTCTCCGGGTGCGGGAGAGGGGAGTGAGGGTTTTGACTTGTTCAATTGCGCCTCCGATTCTGAGAACCTAGACAGTTTGAAAAGCTTATCTGTGAGCTGTTACATGTGAGCTCTTTATTTTTTTTTCTCCCCCTTCTTCTCTTCTAATTTCTGTTTCATTGTGTTAATAACAGCTCCGAGTCTAGCTGTCGAATGTGGAGCTGGCTTAGTCACAGCAGCCATGGGGCTCTTTCACACGCCAACCTGGCTATGTCACTTCTCTGCAGTGCTCCCCGTTGCCCGGGAACACGCTCCTTAGCATGGCTCACCGGGCCCCTTCGGACTTGGCCCTGGGGACCTGGTCACTGGCCCCTTGCTACCCACTCCCCCACCCCCAAAACACCCTCCAGCTGTACTCGGGTCCCTGGGAGTCCCAGGAGGCTTAGGCACTCTGTCACCTCCCAGCCTTTGCAATGAACTGCCTCCTCCTCCAGGAACAGCTGCCTCCCACCCTATCCCTCCACGCCCAGCCCCCACCGGGGCATTGCCTGTGCATCCCGCTGGTCTCCAGACAGATGTCGCTTCCTCCAGGAGCCTTTCCCTGGACCCCTCCTCTATACTCCTGGGTTTAACCCCCCAAGATACAGATGTTCATCAAAAAAATTGTTCGAGAGGGGGCAAAGAAGTTGACATCAACTATCCACCAATAGGGAAAAAAGTTAAATCCTACATCGCTCTGATGTAGTATCATGCAAAACACTTTTAAAAATGAAAAGGAGATTTAGGAGAATAGTGACATAGTCACATACAATTGCCAACGGCGTATGGTGTGTTCCCCTGCTATAAATTATGCGTACAAATGTGTGCGCTCACAGGTCCTGCGGATCGTATACGGGCTTATCAGGATGGGA